CCGCAAGGCATGCAGAGAACGAGAAAAGTTTCTTCACAATTGACACTAATCATGCCCTCACGGCGATCTATCAACACACAATTCTCAGTTTTGTTTGGATTGTTGTTTCTGAACGACTTTGTGACAATGGTCTTATTATTGTGGCTCCATACAAAGGATTTGTGTTGTGTTGAGTAAAAGCCTCCCGTCCAAACTAGGTAACAGATTGAAAAAGTCAAATGAAATTAGTTTTCTCTTGTTTTGAATGATATACATTTCAAATGTGCATTGTTCAAGGTTATCATTTATTATCCCATGCTTGGGAAAGTTGACTCAATGCACGGGCAAGACTTGACCAGAAATGAAATCAGTTGGGAGTCAGCCATTTACGGTCTACGACAAATGCCCGAATGGACACTTGCCCGAAAGCGACAAATGCCCGAATTGACACTTGCCAGAATGCGACAAACGCCAGAAAGCCATTTGTCCGGATGACGTTTTCCCGAAAAAAATGTTAACATTATAATACATAAATAGACATTCTTAATTAATTCAAGTTTGACATTTTGATAAATACAAATTAGTTTATACGAGCTGACCCACGAATTAGCATAAGCCGCTATTTAGTTGTTTTATTTCCTATTTTTCATATTTTGTGAATTCGACACTACCAATGCGCTGATTACCCGGGGCAGTAGGTGCCGAAAATACTAGGTTGATAAAAATGTTTGAGGGTTAGGGTTAGAAATTAGCTTTTTAAAAAATGATAAAATATAGCATGTCAGAGGAGTATACAGGTTTTCGTGTTAACGGGAGATGCGAGTCGAGAAAAAGACGATATATATTATTTTTATATATATATATATATATATATATATATATATATATATATATATATATATATATGTATATATGTAACCAAGTAGTAGTAGCGGCCAGCATCATGTGTGACGTTCGTTGTTAGGTCTTGTGCGACCCCTTCCTCACGGCACCCAAATGCGACCCCTTCCTCACGGCACCCAAATGCGACAGAGGCGTGTACAACCTCCTGTCTGTAGGTAATGCCAACTCTAGGCCGAGGACACCTCATTTGGTGCCGATCCACCCACCTGATATAAAGGAGCACACTCTGCCCGCAGGTTCAATATTACTTCATTTTATTTCTTCATGAATAATCACAGTTCAGATAATTAGGTGAATCTCAACAGACCTCTACTGTCACAGGCCCACACACTGTATCACTCCATACCTCAATCTACTAACACTTGTATCTGCATTCAGTCCATTCTATATCTCTCTTTATCCAGCGCCCGATCGTTCCATCTTCTGTCTCTCAGCTCACATCTTCGATCTCTACGTTTCTGCATCCATCTGTCTTGCTCTACATCTTCTGTCTGTCTCTCGCTCTCATACCCAAAAGTACCGCTCTTATATACACACACAGTCACACCCAGATGTACATCCGGTGTTGTCAACAATGTCTATCAAGGTCAAACTATTCTACTTCGGTACCAACTATTGCATCGTTTCTATTAATAACTTGTCCATTTGTCTTCAAGTTTGCATGTCGAATTCTATTTTAGTCCCATCATCTACGTCACAACAGTTTCATAATAACTATAAATAACTCTAACTCAGTTCAGTCTTGGCCTTGATCTCTATGACAACCAAATAAGTTTTTTTTGTAACTACACTAGTTACATATATATATATATATATATATATATATATATATATATATATATATATATATATATATATATATATATATATATATATATGTATATATATATATATATATATATATATATATATATATATATATATATATATATATATATATAGTGTGTGTGTGTGTGTGTATACTAGCTGTATGACATCGCTTCGCTAAGGTGAAAAGTACATCCAAACATTACTATGTAGAAAACAAAAGAACAAAACACCAGTTAGGCCGACAGCACACATCAATGTATCACATTAGCAAAATACAACTCAAAACATAGGGCCTACACAACACAACCAAAACATAGGGCCTACACAACACAACTAAAACAAGAAACGCAACACAATCTGTTTTGCAATCCTTGTAACAAAAAATAATTTGACATAATCTAATATATAAAGCTCAAATGGATTATGTGGCTCTGTATGTATGTATGTTTTTTTTTAAATACTTTTATTTTCAAATAGAAATAATTACATCAGTATATATACGTAGTTCAAACATTTACAAAAATAATCTTTACATGAACAAAATGGTGAGCATTACTAAAAAGTATTTGTCGATCAACAATTCAAATGAAGGTAATTAGAAATAAAGAAATAAAAAAAAACAAGGTAATTAAAAAGTCTAGTGACAATTTTAGCGCAATTTCCTTATGTTATCTAAAAATAGCTCTGTCGTAGCGTAAATCAAGAGCAGGGTTAGTAAAACCATTGGTTAAAATACATGTTTTATTTACAATAGAATTACATGACTAAAAACCATTGCGCGCCTAGCTACCGAACGTGATGTCGCAGCCATTGAACGTGATGGCGCAGCTATTGAACGTGATGACGCGTGTGGTGTGGTTGGATAAAAATGCCTACTAATTCGGTCCAAATTTTAATTTATTGAAAACATTTTTTGTGACCGAACGAAAGAATATTTTTGAAAACTTTCTTCGGCAATATTGTTCTAAATTATGGCAGGAATCGATTGGTACATGTTTCAAGTCGCTAAGTGGTCTGGTTGCCGAGATATGGGCCAAAAACTGCATTTTTTCGAGTTTTTTTTTTAGTTTTCCGGGAAATCCATGAAAGAAACCCGGAATTTTTTTGCCTATGTTCATCCTCGTAACTTGCTTAACATAATTGCTTTGGAACTAGTCCTCGATATTGCTTCGTTGAGGAGGAGATACGACTTAAAGCTGCGGACACACATCCATTCATTCATACATTCATACATCCAGAAATGACGGGTTAATAAACGCAATTCTCCAGAATGGAAATTGCGCTAAAAATGTATTTTTACAATGATAGGCTAATATGTTTTAAAGTTTTGTTGAGAATGTTTTCGACAATTTTTTTTTTAAATATTATCAAAGTTAACAAAATAATTTTAGGTATAAATTTACAAATAATAAAATGAATATACATAAAAGGAGGAGGGGTCATAGGGGTCAATTTGTACGTTGTGGACCAATGTACCGTACATATAAGTAAAATAGTGTCAAATAATGCCTTTACAATGTTTGTTTGTTGGCTGTGTAAATAAAACAATACACAAATAAGTAACAATAGGAACCTTAATGACAAATAATAAATGATGCGAAACGAGGTGGGGACATGGGGGTTGAGAATACATCATCCTCAGTATTTAACATAGTATGTAAAAAAACGGGGGTGGGGGTCATGGGGACAAAGGGGATGCAGTTATGGGGGCAATATGATAAGGGGATCCTGGGGTTTAGGGGCGGGGGCGCGGAGGGTGTGATGAAAGGGGGTGTGTCGATTAGGATTGATAGGGCCAGGTGGCCAATGCAGTGTCATATGTTCTTTACGTTGTGGTGCTGCTAATTATGGTATATGTGTTTGAGTGCTGTCATTGTCGAGTCGTCTACGATAAATCAAGTCTAGTAACGTGTCCCGTGAACTGTACCTTGTCGTGTTTTGCTCTTATTCTACTGTTCCAAATAGTCTGTCTATAGAGAGCTAGCCTCCTTGCTTTTTGCTCTAGGTCCGTCCTGTCTCTTTGTTTTTGGGATTTTGTTTAGAGTTATGACTATATCGATATTGAAGGTCTCGTTTTTTGTTATTTTGGTTTCTAGCAATTTTTCATGTTTTGTATGGTGGGGCATTCTACATAGAAGTGCGTTTCGGT